GCAACATCCTGGTAAACTCTTCTGCATCCTCTCCAAAGCCTCCACATTCTTCCTATAGTGCGGAGACCAGAACTACACAGAACACTCTACATGTGGCCTAACTAAAGTTTAAGCAGCTGCCCCTGACTTACCAACTTTTACAGTCAGTGCCCTGACCGATGAAAGCAAGCACTCCACATGCCCTCATCCATTTGTGCTGCCTCTTTCAGGGAGCTATGGACTTACACCAAGATCCTTCGGAATTTCAATGCTCCTGAGTGTCCTGCTGTTGCTGGATAAAAGTTACATGAATTCTGTCCATTGTATTCAGCAACATCTTCAACCTATTCATCAGGGGCTGAATTAACTGCTCAAGGCAACTGAAGAAATATTTCTGTGTTTCACACTGTATTGCCTGTCTTAGAACAAACAGCTGTGGGATCCTGGTGAGAAACAGCAGTAGCTGGGCTGACCAGCCCCGTCACCGTGTCCAAGGTATCAGAGACAACAACCCAACAACCTGCTCCTCTGATGCTGCTTGGCCTGCTGTGTTCATCCAGCTCTACACCTTGTTATCTCAGTTTCTCCAGCATCGGCAGTTCCTACTATCTCCAACATAGAACAAACAGTGGCTGGAGACTGAAAACAAGAAGTGCTGGAGAACCCTATTCTCTAGGAGTTGTTCACAGAAAAGCTAACCCAAACGTCAGCCTTCCTGCTCCTCTGATGCTGCTTAGCCTGCTGTGTTCATCCAGCTCTACACCTTGTTACCCCATTTCTCTCTTTCCCAGTTTATCATCTGTGATCCCTTTGTCTGCTTCCTTTCTCTCTCTCCCTCCCTCCGGACACCACCTCCACCTATTGCACTCCTCTTCTCCCTCATTCCCGGGCACTTTCAGTTCAGAAGGAAAGACACACTGGACCTGAAACGTTAACTCCGTTTCTCTCTCCACAGATGCTGCCAGATTTGCTGAGATTCCTCAGTTTGTGATTGTGAAAGCCAGTGGCCTCACTGGGATCCACTTACCATAACCCCCACTCTGAGCCAGCAGGCGGGGCAGATCCCGAAGCAGCTGTAGGATGATGGTCAGGCAGAGGTAGGTGTTGAAAGTTTCGTGTCCCAACATCTTGGAGGCTGTTGCTCAGAGTGAAAGCTCCTGATGTCAGCAGCTGCTACACACTGCAACCCACATCCTGCAGTGAGCAGTGCCAATATTAACCCAATCACTGCCACAAAACTCTCACAACACTCACCAAACCCACAGCCTGCTTTTACATCAATGTTACAAACTCCAGTAGGAGGAATACACTGGCTCTCAACGTCCACTGCTCCTCCAGTTGTGGTATTTGTATCAATCTTTTAATTCAATCACCAAAATGGCACACGCCAAAATGCGCCGGCATCTCCAGGCACTCCAACCAAGCCTACCCCAGCTCAGAGCCTCCCTCTCCCAGACCTGCAAAGGACCTCTCCTGTTTTTTATTAGGATCCACAACCTGAACTCCCAATTCTACTCAGCTTTATTGGACACTAAAAACCGTAAGTACAGTAAACTTACTGGTGCCTACCACCCAAAACGGGCTTCCTCCACCCCCCAAATCCCCAACCGTACCCAGGACCTTCCCCACAATG